GCTTCTGTAGGTGGTTGTGAGGGAGGCAGTATTTGATCTTCCTCCTGAGTCTAGGTTCTCCTGGCCATCTCCATCTTCACCTCTTTCCTCCTCTCATCTTTGTACCATCTCTCTCAGTTTCTGCCTTTCTTGTGTTATGTTGTCATCGAGATGCACCTTCTGGCATGCTGGCATGTCCCTTAGTCTTGCTTTCTCCTGTAGGATCCTGTTCTGAGTCAATTCTGCCTTAAAAGTCACTTTCATTGGCCGGGTTCTTCGTCTTGCAAACCCCCCTAATCTCCAAAAAATTTGCCAGCTGGATCATGTCATCTTCTATTGCTTTTATGATGCTTTCGATCGCATTTTCTTCTTGCTTCGTAAGTTTCTCCTTCAACTTCCTGGAGCCCATAAATAAAGACTGACCTCTCCCTTTCATTCTCCCACTGCATATCGCTATATATCCACTGATTTGATTTAGTTTCCTCCACTGCAGCTTTCCATTCTTCAGTTTCTTCATTATCTATTGTCCTTGGGCCCAGTGGTCTGTCATTTTCCTTTCTCAACTTTCCCTGGGCTCTGTTGTGGTCTGTTAGGACCTCCACATATAGCTTAGCTCTTTTATTTTCTACAGTTGCGTGCGTGTACTCACCTATTTGTACTCACCTATTTGTGGTTGCAGGGGTCGAGTCCTAGCTCCTGGCCCCGCTTCTTCACCGGTTGCTACTAGGCCCTCTCTCTCCCCGCTCCATGAGCTTTATCAAACCTCGTCTTAAAACTGTGTATGGTTCCTGCCTCCACTACGTCATTTTCTAGGCTATTCCACTGCCTTACAACTCTATGACTGAAGAAATACTTCCTACTATCTCTCTGACTCATTTGTGTCTTCAACTTCCAATTGTGGCCTCTTGTTTCTGTGTCCCCTCCCTGGAACATCCTGTCCTTGTCCACCTTGTCTATTCCACGCAGTATTTTATATGTCGTTATCATGTCTCCCCTGACCCTCCTGTCCTCCAGTGTCGTCAGGCCGATTTCCCTTAATCTTTCTTCATAGGACATTCCCCTTAGCTCTGGAACTAACCTTGTTGCAAACCTTTGTACTTTCTCTAGTTTCTTGACTTGCTTTATCAAGTGCGGGTTCCAAACAGGTGCTGCATACTCCAGTATGGGCCTGACATACACGGTGTACAGTGTCTTGAATGATTCCTTACTAAGGTATCGGAATGCTGTTCTCAGGTTTGCCAGGCGCCCATATGCTGCAGCAGTTATCTGATTGATGTGTGCTTCCGGAGACATGCTCGGTGTTATACTCACCCCAAGATCTTTCTCCTTGAGTGAGGTTTGCAGTGTGTGTGTGTGTGTGTGTGTGTGTGTGTGTGTGTGTGTGTGTGTGTGTGTGTGTGTACACTCACCTAATTGTGGTTGGAGGGGTTGAGACTCAGCTCGTGGCCCTGCCTCTTCACTAAATGGTACTAGGTCCTCTCTCTCTGTGCTCCATGAGCTTTATCGTACCTCATCTTAAAGCTATGTATGGTTCCTGCCTCCACTACCTCACTTGCTGGACTATTCCACTTCCTGACTACTCTATGACTGAAGAAATACTTCCTAACATCCCTTTGACTCATCTGAGTCTTCAACTTCCAAGTGTGACTCCTTGTTTCTGTGTCCCCTCTCTGGAACATCCTGTGTGTGTGTGCGTGCGTGCGCTCGTGTGTGTGCGACTAGTTGTAAGTACTAGTTTTAGTTTACATAGCAACTGGCTTTCCAATAAAAACATTATACTGTATTATATAAGATATAAAATTCCTAAAAATGTATTTTTTTGTATTTTTGGAAATAAAAATTTATATTTGAGTTCAATTATTCAAGAGAAGTTTTCGGGAATAATTATTTATTTTGCACTGCCACACAATCATGAAACTGAAGACTAACTGTAGGATTTAGTTAAAAACGTGTCTGGTGATGTCCCACACCCAAATCTCTTCATAAAGTTTATTCTTTCTCAGGACTGTCAACAATATCCACATCAACACAATATATAATGAGCCCAAATTTAAGAACAAATATACAATTCATTTTTGTATTACTTGTGAATCTAAGGTTAACAAAGCCTTAAGGAATGTAATCACTGCTAATTTAGAGGTCTGACTTTCTGAAGCTGCAAGCGTGGCAAGCAGGAAGATGAGTGTAACATTAATGTCATGAATAAAGCACACTGATGATTATATCCATGGAGGAGGGGTAAGCCTGCAGGGGTAATACAGCACCTGGGGAGTGAAAGGTACTCAGGTTTGATCCAAATTTGTTAGATCAAGCGCTGTTCTTCTGCAGCATCAAAGCATCCTACCTTCCCTTGAGGAGGGATGCTGCATAAAGGTAGGTAAGAAGAGTCTTTAACCCTTTGACTGTTTCAGGCCCCTCTCTGAAACTGTCATTCAATGTCGCTCAATTTTTGAAAAAAAAAAAATTATTTTTTCTTATGAAATGATAGAGAATCTTTTCCCGATGGTAATGACACCAAAAGTTCGAAATTTGGTCGAAAACTCATGGGATTATGCTCCCGCGAAGTTAGCGGTCTCGGCGACATATGCGTATCGGCGATTTCGCCGACTTTGAGCCCTATTTTCAGCCAATTCACTTGTTCCAGTTGACCAAACTCATAGCTATTTCTTTAGAACTCCATTTTATCTATCAGCTGAGTACAAAAAAAACTCCCATTTACTAATTTGGACTACCCAATATGGTGGTCAGAAATTGGCAATTTGGCCAATTTCACGCAAATTAAAAAAGATGCCAATTTCAAAATAGGGTCCAGAATAAACAAGGTAGACATTTGTGGCACTAAAATAACATATGCTCTGTTCATTAGTCACATCTCTAGGCCCCTCTTATATTATTATTGCTTTCTATTTTGATTTTTTATTCATACAAAAAAATACAAAATTTACTGTTATGCAGACTACTGCATTATTGTAAAAATGGTATAAATAATATCAGTGCACTAGTGAAAGAATATAAGACTCCCCAGTTGACGTGTATTGGACGTGTGGTGTGATTTATTTACTCCTGAACATTGGTAAAAATCGAACATTTCCGCTATTTTGAGCTCAGTTTCAAGGTCGTTTTCATCGTCAAAGTAATGAAAATCATCTCTATTTCTGTAATATGTTTTCCATTTTATCACCTAAGACCATGAAAACGCGAATACAATGATAAATACTATACGAAAATACACCTCAAAGTCGGCGTTTTATTCCAAAAAGACTATCAGAGTTTTTTTTTTCTCATTACGCAATGTGTGCTGCAGGATTTTTTTTTATGTGGTGCACACTGACCACACAGACCCATTCTCTCACATGTGGGCCTACCAGGTTTCTCCCACTTGAATTGAAGCCGCTAGAATTATTGAGTATATATACGTCAGAAACATTAGCTCGTAAGACGTATTTATACGTCGAAAACAGTCAAAGGGTTAATGATGAAACATTTTGAAGCATCATAAAACAATTCACAACTAAACCTGACAATGGTTTAGGATGGACTGTACTATTGTTGAAACATTTATTGCCAATTTGTGGTTGTGAATTGCTCCAGCTGCAGCAGTGACCTTTGTACAAAACAATGCTAGTACAAGGTGCTTGAGTGCATGCAGAAATGCTACTGGATGCACAATTTTCCATGCAGTTCCTGATTAGCTGATCTGCGGTGTTTACACTGGAGTGCGTCCTTATAGCATCAACAGCTTGGAGTAAAAGACATATAGAACAAGAGTTTATTGTGACAATGTTTGTCTTTGTCAAGTCTTAATGCAAAACCATGACACAATGAAAACTTGTTCTACCTCCTGTCGGCATGTTGCCCTTGCATCCACCAACAGGTTGGTTAATCTAGCCATCAGCCAGGAGGACTGGCCTGGGGCCACACCCCACCAATGGCACTCTTCTCATGGTACACAATAAAGATTTTAAAAAATACCCCCGAGAACACATGAATATATTTAGCTGAAATAACACTCACAATGGAATGACCTCATCATAATTTCTTAAACTGTCTAACAGAGTGAGTTGATGATACAACAAGGTACGTGTAATGGAGAGAGGATACAGCTAAGTCTCTGTGATGGAATGAGTTGAGGACACAGTAACGCATCTGCTCTATACAAACAGCCTTAGCGGTGCCCAAACTTTACATAGTAGCAGACAAAGGTACCCACACAAATATTTTCAAGGTGGTGCAGAACATGCACCTAATGTAGGGGATCACCAATTACTGCTAAATAGCAACACATTCAAAGAAACTGTTTTATATGCTCAAGAACAAAGCATCTGATCATTGTAACAAAACATAAATAATGAAAGTGTAAAAATAATGCTGCTTATTCCAGCAGACAATACAAATATGGGTAAAAAAAAAAAAAGGTAGAGGTTTTCCAAAATGAAGCATTGCGTGCAACAAGTGTACAATCTGCCAGACTATGTAGGCTTGCAAGCTGCCAACTACCTGCTTGACCAGACTCAACTTAGAGAGAAAAATAACTCTGGAAACTGGTTGCAGGTACACACCACCTTTCTGTAACTTCAACTCACAACATTGCACAATTTTGAAAATTAAGCAAAAACTAAAATTATTCTTAATAAATAATACTATTCTGCATTGTAAATATATTCTTGTCTTGTTTTAAAGACAGTAAACCTACAGTGGTCATTTTCCCATAAAGTTCTTTAAATGTACAGAAAATCCCCAAGTTTTACACCAGTTGTGTTGCAGGTGTTTTAATTTACTGGTTGTGCTGTGGGTGTTTTAACTTACCAGTTGTGTTGCAGATGTTTTAACTAACACACACATTGTGTTTTGGTGTTTTAACTAACACACACATTGTGTTTTGGTGTTTTAACTAACACACACATTGTGTTTTGGTGTTTTAACTAACACACACATTGTGTTTTGGTGTTTTAACTAACACACACATTGTGTTTTGGTGTTTTAACTAACACACACATTGTGTTTTGGTGTTTTTAAACTAACACACACATTGTGTTTGGTGTTTTAACTAACATACACATTGTGTTTTGGTGTTTTAACTAACACACACATTGTGTTTTGGTGTTTTAACTAACACACACATTGTGTTTTGGTGTTTTAACTAACACACACATTGTGTTTTGGTGTTTTAACTAACACACACATTGTGTTTTGGTGTTTTAACTAACACACACATTGTGTTTTGGTGTTTTTAACTAACACACACATTGTGTTTTGGTGTTTTAACTAACACACACATTGTGTTTTGGTGTTTTTAACTAACACACACATTGTGTTTTGGTGTTTTAACTAACACACACATTGTGTTTTGGTGTTTTAACTAACACACACATTGTGTTGCAGATGGTAGTGTCTCATAAAAGTTGTAAACATGACTCAGCACTTGTAAATAAATATATGATTTTCAGGATCTTTGTAAGTGTGGATCTTTGTAAGTGTGGATCTTTGTAAGTGTGGATCTTTGTAAGTGTGGATCTTTGTAAGTGTGGATCTTTGTAAGTGTGGATCTTTGTAAGTGTGGATCTTTGCAAGTGTGGATCTTTGTAAGTGTGGATCTCTGTAAGTGTGGATCTCTGTAAGTGTGGATCTATGTAAGTGTGGATCTTTGTAAGTGTGGATCTTTGCAAGTGTGGATCTTTGCAAGTGTGGATCTTTGCAAGTGTGGATCTTTGCAAGTGTGGATCTTTGTAAGTGTGGATCTTTGTAAGTGTGGATCTTTGTAAGTGTGGATCTTTGTAAGTGTGGATCTTTGTAAGTGTGGATCTTTGTAAGTGTGGATCTTTGTAAGTGTGGATCTTTGCAAGTGTGGATCTATGTAAGTGTGGATCTATGTAAGTGTGGATCTATGTAAGTGTGGATCTATGTAAGTGTGGATCTATGTAAGTGTGGATCTTTGTAAGTGTGGATCTTTGTAAGTGTGGATCTTTGTAAGTGTGGATCTTTGTAAGTGTGGATCTTTGTAAGTGTGGATCTTTGTAAGTGTGGATCTTTGTAAGTGTGGATCTTTGTAAGTGTGGATCTTTGTAAGTGTGGATCTTTGTAAGTGTGGATCTTTGTAAGTGTGGATCTTTGTAAGTGTGGATCTTTGTAAGTGTGGATCTTTGCAAGTGTGGATCTATGTAAGTGTGGATCTATGTAAGTGTGGATCTATGTAAGTGTGGATCTTTGTAAGTGTGGATCTTTGTAAGTGTGGATCTTTGTAAGTGTGGATCTTTGTAAGTGTGGATCTTTGTAAGTGTGGATCTTTGTAAGTGTGGATCTTTGTAAGTGTGGATCTTTGTAAGTGTGGATCTTTGCAAGTGTGGATCTTTGTAAGTGTGGATCTTTGTAAGTGTGGATCTTTGTAAGTGTGGATCTTTGCAAGTGTAGATCTTTGCAAGTGTGGATCTTTGCAAGTGTAGACCTTTGTAAGTGTGGATCTTTGTAAGTGTGGATCTTTGTAAGTGTGGATCTTTGTAAGTGTGGATCTTTGTAAGTGTGGATCTTTGTAAGTGTGGATCTTTGTAAGTGTGGATCTTTGTAAGTGTGGATCTTTGTAAGTGTGGATCTTTGTAAGTGGTTTTAAGCAATTTGATTCCTGATAATTTATCTCACTATAATTTTACTCTCTTACATAAGAAAAATACTGTACATTGATTTAAGAAGTTACTAAAGATTTAACTAGTGTTCAAATCTAACCTAACTTGATCTAGTCTAACTTGATCTAGTCTAACTTGATCTAGTCTAACGATAAATGTTTGAATGAAGTTTTTAATCCAGTCTAACCATAAATGCTTGAATAAATTTTTTAATAAACATTTTTATGCTTTAAGAGCTGGCTCTAATGAATGTTTTTTTATGATGGTAAATGAATGTTTAAAGTAAATGGTGTTAATGTTGAGTCTTTAATATATAGAGAGAAATTACCTGTAACTTTCTGCACCAGTAACTTGGGTACTTTTTGTACTCTTATTTATAAAATTATTATTTCTTCATTATTACAATTAACTTTACAATGGAATAAAATTATGATAAACTGTGAGTACAATCAACAAGTAGCAGCAGCAGCACTCGTTTACGAGTGAGTGACGCCCTTACGGGCGACCAGCAGGTTCAGGACGGGATGCTTCTTGATGTAGTCGACGGCCTTTTTGTGCGTCACCATGGTGAAATCGTAGCCATTGCACTGCAAGATCTTGTCGTGGACACGCAGCCCCGCCCGGGCAGCCGCACTGCCGTCATGGACCTGTCGTGGTCAAGTTAGGACGGTGACTCTGACGTGGCTACTATCCACCAATGAAGCTAGCAAGATAGCTTTGAATGAGGTAGTGCCCACTAATTAAGTTAGCTAGGTAACTGAACTACTAACCATCCACTGTTTATCTTGCTAACTTTTCTCTAATTCTTATACTCATGGAAAATCACTAAACCTGTAAGGGGTAACTCAGCACCTGAGGTAATGGCAGGTTTGATCTGAGGAAGGGAGTATACCTGCAGAGAGTTTCGGATATCAATACCCCGTGGCCCAGTAAGTATAACTCCTAAAAACCAGGGGTATAATTTTAGTTCTCAGTACTGTCTCTACATGCAGTCAGACTATAAAATGTACTAAGATTGTGTACAATGTACTAAGACTATACAATGTACTATGAGTGTTCACAATGTACTAAGATCATGTACAAGTACAATAAAGCACCTAAATTATTAGGAACAACTGAAATCCCTCGATGTATACTCCCTGGAATGCAGGCAAGAAAGATACATGAAATACACCTACCATCCGACTACGACCGAGTTAGGTTCCGAGAAACCGGTCGTAAGAAGAAATGGTCGTAAGTCGAACTTTACTACTGAATATCAACAAAACATTTTTGTAATGACTTTATTTTATTGTTTAATTTTGGTATTTCATGTTTTACTTTACTTTTTATGTTGTTAGTACTATATTTTATACTGTAAGGTTTAGGATAAACACTGTGTACAACATAAATAGTTGTTTATTTCCAAGAAATTTGGCATAAAAAACATGGTCGTAAGTCGAGTGGTCGTAAGTCGAGCAGGCCTTAAGTCGGATGGTAGGTGTATTTTTTATTTTATTTTTTTTCATTATCCCACTGGCCGATTCCCACCAAGGCAGGGTGGCCCGAAAAAGAAAAACTTTCACCATCATTCACTCCATCACTGTCTTGCCAGAAGGGTGCTTTACACTACAGTTTTTAAACTGCAACATTAACACCCCTCCTTCAGAGTGCAGGCACTGTACTTCCCATCTCCAGGACTCAAGTCCGGCCTGCCGGTTTCCCTGAACCCCTTCATAAATGTTACTTTGCTCACACTCCAACAGCACATCAAGTATTAAAAACTATTTGTCTCCATTCACTCCTATCAAGCACGCTCACTCATGCCTGCTGGAAGTTCAAGCCCCTCGCACACAAAACCTCCTTTACCCCCTCCCTCCAACCTTTCCTAGGCCGACCCCTACCCCGCCTTCCTTCCACTACAGATTGATACACTCTTGAAGTCACTCTGTTTCGCTCATTCTCTCTACATGTCCGAACCACCTCAACAACCCTTCCTCAGCCCTCTGGACAACAGTCCAGAGGGCTGAGGACTAGTCCCTTTAGGAAAATCTTAAAGGGACTAGTCCTAAATTTGCACATAAAAATCACTCCTAATGAAAGCAAAAGACTCAGCAGGTGGTGCAACATCTCCCCAATGAGAAGCAGGGGTGCCACAAGTATGCTAAGAGACAGCACAATAAGTGTCAGGGGACCAAAACTGTTCAACTGCCTCCCAGCATACATAAGGGAGATTACCAATGGACCCCTGGCTGTCTTCAAGAAGGCACTGGACAGGCACCGAAAGTCAGTAACTGAGCAGCCGGGCTGTGGTTCGTGTGTCATTTTGCACGTGACCAGTAGTAATAGCCTGGTTGATCCAGTCCTGATCCATTGTGAGCCCTGGTCACAGACCCAGCTGCAGGGATGTTGACCCTTGAAACCCTCTCCAAGTATACCTCCAGGTAATTTACTAAGATTGTACAAAATGTACTAAGAGTGTATACGCACAATGTACTAACCTCGGTACAGTAGATACCATTGTCTGTATAACCCTGGGGGCTCTTCATGAAGTCCTGGTCGATGCCACCACCAATTTTGAAGCCGCACTTCAGCACCTGAAGTGTGAAAATGTTATACATTATGACCTGACAACCTGAATGTTATATATAATAATAATTATACAGCCTCTCCTCACTTAACAATGGGGTTCCCTTTGTAAGAGTAGGTCGGTAAGCGAACTGGTCACTGAGTGAGGAGAATACTACATACTGGTAATGGGTTTGTGTCAACCATCTTTAGATATTTTATTAATGTCACCTTTTCACCATTTATAACATTTCTAGTATATTTTTAAATGTTTATACAGTAGTGTACTGTATAGTGTAATAAATAGAACAGAGGAAATCAGCTCTAATATACATTACTTAGGTTTGCATACTGGTTGAAGAGCTGGTCGTAAGTTCGAGCAGTCGGTAAATGAACACGTCGCTAAGCGAGGAGAGGCTGTAATCTTTATGTCTACAAATACATGTACAAGGTATACAGGCCTAGTTGACATTAATGACATACTACTAATATAGAAAGCTCTTTGTTATGCAGAGCATTTCAGGCAAATTAGGCTGTGTTTGTCCTCAGCATACATAAGGTGGATTACCAACAGACCTCTCTCTGTCTTCAAGAAGGCACTGGACAGGCACCTAAAGTCAGTACCTGATCAGCTGGGCTGTGGGGCATACGACGTTTTATGCACGGCCTGCAGTAACAGCCTGGGTGATCAGACCCTGATCCACCATGGGCCGCGGGGGTGTTGATCTCCAAAACCTTCTCCAGGCATACTCCAGGTATGCCTGGATGCAACCACAGCAGGTGTAACTAACACCCAGGTAATTATTTTACTGCTAAGTGAACAGGGACATCAGATGTTAATGTTTCCCATAGCTCGATCGCTAGAGCACTCAGCTCACACACTGAGGTCCAGGGTTCGAATCTCCTCTGGTACAGCTGGAAAACATTAGGGACGTGTTTCCATAAGACACCTGCTGTCCCTGTCCCTGTTCACCCATCAGTTCAAAATGGGTACCTGGTCTTATTCGAATGGTGTGGGTCACATCCTGGGACAAAACTGATCTAATTTGCCCGAAATGCTGTACAATCACATGTACAATAATCTTGATACAATCTTGAAGGTAGGATTCATTATTTCAAACTGTGGAATTATATAATTAAACGCTACTCATCAATCCTAACCAGCCTGATAAGAAGGGCAAAAAAATTGTATTATGAGAACAGATTATCCAACTTAAAAGGTGATATAAAAAAGACCTGGAAAACCCTATCAGAAATTCTAGGAACAAAAAAGATATCAGGAAACAGAGCAATCAAACTAACAAAACCAGATGAACCCCAACTCCCACCAACTGAAACAGCAGACTCAATGTTTTCTTCTCCACTATAGGAAAAAACCTTGCCGATAAAATCCCAAGCTCAAATACCCCACCCAATGACTACCTCACTGGCAACTACCCGAACACACTGTTCCTAGCTCCGACTAACCCAAAAGAAGTCTCCCTTATTATCAACACACTAAAAAACAAGAGAGGAGATTTAAATACCTTATCACCCTTTATGTACAAAAAGGCTTCGCAAGTGCTGTCACCAATCACTGCAACACTCTTTAACAAATCCACTGAATCCTCTACATTCCCCACAGTTCTCAAAGTAGTGAGGGTCACCCCAATACACTTAGGAGGAGATCAAACAGACTTGAATAACTATAGGCCAATATCCAACTTACACCCTCTCTCTAAAATCTTTGAAAAATTAATTCATATGCAAATCTATTCCTACCTCATCTCCCACAACATACTCAACCCCTGTCAGTTTGGGTTCAGGCCTAATAAAAATACGAATGATGCTATTATACACATGCTAGAAAAATATACACTGCACTCGAGAAAAAAGAAGTCCCATTGGGGATCTTCATTGATTTACATAAAGCTTTTGAAACAGATGACCATGATTTGCTGCACATAAAATTGCCTCACTATGGTATAAGAGGGCACTCCCTCAACTACCTAAAGTCATACCTCAGCAACAGAAGCCAATATGTGTACACAAATGAAGCAAACTCTTCCACACAGCCAATTACGGTTGATGTACCACAGGGAAGTGTCCTTGACCCTCTTCTCTTTCTCATTTACATAAACAACCTACCAAATGCATCGCAACTACTCGAACCCACATTATTTGCAGATGACACTACATACATCTTCTCTCACCCAAGCCCAGTCATGCTAGACAAGTTTCTCCTATGTATGGACTGATGAAGCCACTGTGTGGCAAAACGTTTCCTGAATAAAGTTACCCAAGAGTTGCACATGTGTCTAATTTATCAACGTGTCGGTTCTCTGAACCATTCATCTACCATGCTAGACAATACTGTAAATACCGAATTATAGAAAATATCTACCTGGATGATGATTAATAAACTTACTCTCAATATTGACAAAACCTACTTCATATAGTTTGGAAACAGAACTACAGATGTCCCTCTTAACATAATGATAAATGGATCATCTATCACAAAGCTCACAGAGGGAAAATTCTTAGGAATCCACCTTGATAATAGACTCAAATTTCAAACACATATACGTACAACAAATTTCCAAGAAAATCTCCAAGATCGTAGGCATACTATCGAAGATATGGTACTATGTTCCACAGCCAGCCCTCCTGGCCCTATATCACTCACTCATTTACCCCTACCTCACCTATGGAATTTGTGCATGGGGCTCAACAACAATAAACCATCTCAGACCATTAATTACCCAAGAAAAGGCTGCAGTCAGAATGATAACAAATTCCCACTACAGGCAGCATACTCCACCAATATTCAAAACTCTAAACTTACTCACCGTACAAAACATCCATACTTATTATTGTACCTACTACATACATAGAACACTTAACTCGGATATAAACCCTCCCCTTAAACTTCTCCTTACCAACCTCAACAGAACACATGACCATAACACAAGACACAGATCACTCTTTGATGTTCCTCGTGTCCATCTCACATTATGTAAAAACACAATGCACAGAAAAGGCCCAAAATTCTGGAATTCATTTATTTATTTATTTATTTATTTATTATTAATTTGGACATGATACATAGATGTACAAAGAAATACAATGGTTAAGTGTACATGCCAAAAGTCCCTTGTATGCAGAGCATTATGAGCAGGCTTAAAATTAACTAAAGATTAACTAAGCAATGATATACAGTATTCAGTGGTAAAAATTACAGTAAACAAATAACAATTAAGCACAAATGAGTATTTCAAAGACAGATCATATGGTCATTTGATGAGTTACTGTGCATTCAAGAGAATGGAGTATTCTATTAGGTAATGTAATTAAAAAAACAAAGTTTGATAGGGTCACAGGTTATAATTTATGAGATGCAGTTGTGCAGTTATGCGAATATAAAAGAAATACTGTCTGTTTGTCAATTCAAGACTCTTCTTAAAAACCACTTACTCACCCACAACTAAAATACTGAATAACTGTATCTCATAAATGTATAACCTGTGACCCTATCAAACTTTCTAGTGTATTTGTTCAGTCTGTGGTGGAAACTTTCCAGTGTATTTGTTCAGTCTGTACTGGAAACTTTCCAGTGTTTTTGTTATTACATTACCTAACAGAATGCTCCATTCTCTTGAATGCACAGTAACTCATCGAATGACCATATGACCTGTTTCTGCACTACAAATCATTGATTTTATTCGATCTTGACAGGATTATACTATAAATTGTGCTACAAATTTGTACAACTATAAAAGCTTTTATTTGAAATACTCATTTGTACTTCATGTTGTAATTTGTTTACTGTAATTTTTTCCACTGAATAAATCATTGCTTAGTTAATCTTAAGTTAATTTTAAGCCTGCCCATAATGCTCTGCATACAAGGGGCTTTTGGCATGTACACTCAACCACTGTATTTCTTTTGTACAACTACCTATGTATCATGTCCAAATAATAATAAATACAAAAGTAAATAAAAATAAAACTTCAACCTGTCCAGCAATTATTTTTTATTTAATTTTTTTTATTTTTTTTTTATTAACACACTGGCCGATTCCCACCAAGGCAGGGTGGCCCGAAAAAGAAAAACTTTCACCCTCATTCACTCCATCATTGTTTTGCCAGAAGGGTGCTTTACACTACAGTTTTTAAACTGCAACATTAACACCTCTCCTTCAGAGTGCAGGCACTGTACTTCCCATCTCCAGGACTCAAGTCCAGCCTGCCGGTTTCCCTGAATCCCTTCATAAATGTTACTTTGCTCACACTCCAACAGCACATCAAGTATTAAAAACCATTTGTCTCCATTCACTCCTATCAAACATGCTCACGCATGCCTGCTGGAAGTCCAAGCCCCTCGCACACAAAACCTCCTTTACCCCCTCCCTCCAACCTTTCCTAGGCCGACCCCTACCCCGCCTTCCTTCCACTACAGACTGATACACTCTTGAAGTCATTCCGTTTCACTCCATTCTCTCTACATGTCCAAACCACCTCAACAACCCTTCCTCAGCCCTCTGGACAACAGTTTTGGCAATCCCGCAACTCCTCTCAACTTCCAAACTACGACTTCTCTGCATTATATTCACACCACACATTGCCCTCAGATATGACATCTCCACTGCCTCCAGCTTCTCCTCACTGCAACATTCATCACCCATGCTTCACACCCATACAGGAGCATTGGTAAAACTATACTCTGATACATTCCCCTCTTTTCTTCCAAGGACAAAGTTCTTTGTCTCCACAGACTCCTAAGTGCACCACTCACCCTTTTCCCCTCATCAATTCCATGATTCACCTCATCTTTCATAGACCCATCTGCTGACACATCCACTCCCAAATATCTGAATACATTTACCTCCTCCATACTTTCTCCCTCCAATCTGATATCCAATCTTTCATCCCCTAATCTTTTTGTTATCCTCATAACCTTACTCTTTCCTGTATTCACTTTCAATTTTCTTCTTTTATATACCCTACCAAATTCATCCACCAACCTCTGCAACTTCTCTTCAGAATCACCCAAGAGCACAGTATCATCAGCAAAGAGCAACTGTGACAACTCCCACTTTATGTGTGATTCTTTATCTTTTAACTCCACACCTCTTGCCAAGACCCTCGCATTTACTTCTCTTACAACCCCATCTATAAATATATTGAACAACCACGGTGACATCACACATCCTTGTCTAAGGCCTGCTTTTACTGGGTAATAATCTCCCTCTTTCCTACATACTCTAACTTGAGCCTCACTATCCTCGTAAAAACTCTTCACTGCTTTCAGTAACCTACCTCCTATACCATACACCTGCAACATCTCCCACATTGTCCCCGTATCCACCCTGTCATACGCCTTTTCCAAATCCATAAATGCCACAAAAACCTCTTTAGCCTTATCTAAATACTGTTCACTTATGTTTTACTGTAAACACCTGGTCCATACACCCCCTACCTTTCCTAAAGCCTCCTTGTTCATCTGCTATCCTATTCTCCGTCTTACTCTTAATTCTTTCAATAATAACTCTACCATATACTTTACCAGGTGAACGATATTTTTTCACTCTAGAAGTATGTTCAGGTGCCAGTACTGACCGAATTTGTTCCCATAAGAAATATTGTGAAGTAGATTATCCCATTTCAGACCCCCAAACATACACGTACAAACGCACTTACATAAATACACTTACATAATTGGTCACATTCGGAGGTCATCATTATGCGGGGGTCCACTGTATACTCAACAGACTTATCCCCCTATAATTTTTGCACTCTCTTTTGTCCCCTTTGCCTTTATACAAAGGAACTATGCATGCTCTCTGCCAATCCCTAAGTACCTTACCTTCTTCCATACATTCATTAAATAATAGCACCAACCACTCCAAAACTATATCCCCACCTGCTTTTAACATTTCTATCTTTATCCCATCAATCCCAGCTGCCTTACCCCCTTTCATTCTACCTACTGCCTCATGAACTTCCCCCACACTCACAACTGGCTTTTCCTCACTCCTACAAGATGTTATTCCTCCTTGCCCTATACACGAAATCACAGCTTCCCTATCTTCATCAACATTCAATAATTCTTCAAAATATTCCCTCCATCTTCCCAATACCTCTAACTCTCCATTTAATAACTCTCCTCTCCTGTTTTTAACTGATGAATCCATTTGTTCTCTAGGCTTCCTTAACTTGTTAATCTCACTCCATAACTTTTTCTTATTTTCAACAAAATTTGTTGATAACATCTCACCCACTCTCTCATTTGCTCTCTTTTTACATTGCTTCACCACTCTCTTAACATCTCTCTTTTTTCTCCATATACTCTTCCCTCCTTGCATCACTTCTACTTTGTAAAAACTTCTCATATGCAAACTTTTTCTCCCTTACTACTCTCTTTACATCATCATTCCACCAATCACTCATCTTCCCTCCTGCACCCACTTTCCTGTAACCACAAACTTCTGCTGAACACTCTAACACTACATTTTTAAACCTACCCCATACCTCTTCGACCCCATTGCCTATGCTCTCATTAGCCCATCTATCCTCCAATAATTGTTTATATCTTACCCTAACTGCCTCCTCTTTTAGTTTATAAACCTTCACCTCTCTCTTACCTGATGCTTCTATTCTCCTTGTATCCCATCTACCTTTTACTCTCAGTGTAGCTACAACTAAAAAGTGATCTGATATATATGTGGCCCCTCTATAAACATGTACATCCTGAAGTCTACTCAACAGACTTTTATCTACCAATACATAATCCAACAAACTACTGTCATTTCGCCCTACATCATATCTTGTATACTTATTTATCCTCTTTTTCTTAAAATATGTATTACCTATAACTAAACCCCTTTCTATACAAAGTTCAATCAAAGGGCTCCCATTATCATTTACACCTGGCACCCCAAACTTACCTACCACACCCTCTCTAAAAGTTTCTCCTACTTTAGCATTCAGGTCCCCTGCCACAATTACTCTCTCACTTGGTTCAAAGGTTCCTATACATTCACTTAACATCTCCCAAAATCTCTCTCTCTCTCCTCTACATTCCTCTCTTCTCCAGGTGCATACACTCTTATTATGACCCACTTTTCACATCCAACCTTTACTTTAATCCACATAATCCTTGAATTTACACATTCATATTCTCTTTTCTCCTACCATAACTGATCTTCAACATACTGCTACCCTTCCTTAGCTCTAACTCTCTCAGATACTCCAGATTTAATCCCATTTATTTCTCCCCACCAAAACTCCCCTACCCCCTTCAGCTTTGTTTCGCTTAGGGCCAGGACATCCAACTTCTTTTCATTCATAACATCAGCAATCATCTGTTTCTTGTCATCCGCACTACATCCACGCACATTCAAGCATCCTAGTTTTATGAAGTTTTTCTTCTTCTCTTTTTTAGTAAATTTACAGAGAAGGGGTTACTAGCCCATTGCTCCAGGCATTTTAGTCGCTTCATACGACACGCATGGCTTACGGAGGAAAGATTCTTTTCCACTTCCCCATGGACGATAGAAGAAATAAAGAAGAACAAGAGCTATTTAGAAAAAGGAGAAAAAACCTAGATGTATGTATATATATATATATGCATGTGCGTGTCTGTGAAGTGCGACCAAACTGTAAGTAGGAGAAGCAAGATATCCCTGTTATCTAGCGTGTTTATGAGACAGAAAAAGACACCAGCAATCCTACCATCATGTAAAACAGTTACAGGTTTCTGTTTCACAGTCATCTGGCAGGACGGTAGTACTTCCCTGGGTGGTTGCTGTCTACCAACCTACTACCTACAATTTTTTTATTTAAGTCTGCTTGAAATGCTCTGCTGTACTACCACAGTGTACGTATGTAGTAGTGAAGAGTATATGTAGCAGTGGTACAGTGTATGCTGGAGTGGTACAGTGTATGCAGTAGTGAAGAGAGTAGAGATATGATACACCAACCTGTCTGCCATGTTCGTCCAGGCCGGCCTCCTTCTCCAGTGTGATAGGTATGCTGAGGCACTCCATAGCAGTGCCGGGCTCGTGGGAGAAGGCCCTTGTCGTCATCGCTCACTCTCTGATACCTGCCACTCACAAATCCTAATCCTCTCCAACCAATTATCCTGCTGGGAATTATCACTGTTATGTATTATTCTCGGTGGGATCATGAGGTAAAGAGGGCGGTAAGATAGAAAAAGTTATCATATGAGGGGTTTTTACAATGTAGGAGAAACACACTGTGGTTGGAGAGTAAATGTGTGGTGAGGGAGAGGAAAAGGACAGCCAGTGAGAGAGTGGGAGAAGTTTTATCAACAAATTTTGTTGAGAATAAAAAAAAAATTGTGACATCATTAAGCTGAGGCCTAGGGAACAAATGAATTTAACTGCTAAAAACAAAATAAGGAGGTGGAGGTGATGGGAAGATGGAGGGAATATATTGAGTTGTTGAATGATGAAGAAGAAAGGGAGGTGGTGACATCTTGTACAGGGCAGGAAAGTATACCATCTTGTAAGAGTGATTAAGAATCAGATGTCAGTGAGGGGAAAGGTGTGTGAGGTAGTGGGTAGAATGAAAGAGGGCAACACAGCTGAGGATATATGGGATCAAGACAGAATGTTAAAAGCAGGTGGGGATATAGTTTTTGAGTGACTGACACATTTGTTCAATATATGCATGAAAGGGAAAAAAAAGTATCTAGAGATTGGCAGAGAGCATGCATAGTTAGTTCCTTTGTATAAAGGAAAATGGGAATATAAGAGAGTGTAAGACTATCAGAGGAATAAGCCTGTTGAATATACCAGATAAAGTTTATAGTAATTATTAAAAGAATTATGGTTAAGATTACAGATGAACAAGGCAGCTTTAGGAAGGGTAGGGGATGTGTAGACTAAGTGTTTACGATGAAGCATACAAGTGAAAGATACTTGGGTATCGTTTATATAATAGGTTAGATACAGGAACAATGTAGTAGATCTTGCAATGCATGGAATATGTGGTAAGTTATAAAAAGCAATAAAGTTTTTATGTGGATAGTGAAGCTCAGGTCAGGTTAAGTGGGAGAGGGGGAAGATTATTTTTCAGTAAAAGTAGGTGATGTCATATGGTTTAACATATTCATAGATGGGATTGTAAAACAAGTGAACACTGGGGCACTGAAGTGAGGTGTGGGATTAAAAGATAATGAATCTTATACAAAGTGAGAGTTGATGAGTAAGACGCATATCAAATGCAAAGGTGACTAAATATGGAGAGAGCAACAGCAATGGCAAGGTAATGATGAAGTGATCAGTGCATCAACCTTATAGTAATAGTTGTGGTTTTTGAGGTGGTCAGTCCCTCAGCCTTGAAAAAATTAACTCTATAGTCCAGAACATTGTGAAGCCAAAGCATGAGACTGGAGCTTCATAAACCGCCAGAGGTGAGGTGTGGAATATCTCCTGTACCTTTACCTTTGATGAATTCTGAGAGTTTTTCTATTCCCAGAGCTTGGCCATGGGCCAGGCTCATCTGGCCCATGGGCCAGGCTCATCTGGCTCATAGGCCAGGCTCGTCTGGCCATAGGCCAGGCTCATCTGGCCCATGGGCCAGGCTCATCTGGCTCATGGGCCAGGCTCATCTGGCCCATGGGCCAGGTTTATCTACTTGTCATTAGTGTGTATCATTTTCATAAAGTAGGAGTTGTCATAATGGCATTTTAACTGATGACATGGTTCTTTTGGGAGATACAGGTCCGCAATCACAAATCCGACATCACTGGACCTGTAGTGTGCCGGATTACTGAGTTTGCCAGATTACAGAGTGATTAGGTTAGAATACACTTAACAAAATTAACCAACTTGACTTACACAAGAAAGTTCATTGAACATCAGCAAAAATTGAACATTTCTGCTACTTTGAGCTCAATTTCAAGGTACTTTTTGTTGTGAAACCAATCAAAATCATATCTATTTCTGTAATATACTTTCCATTCTAGCAAATGACACCAAACAAAGAGAATACAACATTAAAACCATACGAAAATACAGTGAAACCCCGAGTTTCGAACACATTGACTATCGAATGCTTCAGGTTTCAATCGCTTTTTCGGACCAATTTTGTCCCAAGTATTGAACACGCCCCGTGTTTCGAACCGCCGGGTACTGGACCTGTCCGCCTGCCTGCTCCATCCGCGTCCCCGTGCAGGCATTGTGAGCCAGTCTGGCTTTGTTGGTGCTTGAGTGAACACTAACCTGCGTGCTCATTCAAACATTACATTATTAATTCATTGTGTTTGGTGCTTGTGCAACTGTGAAATAAGCTACCATGGGCCCAAAGAAACTTGGTAGTGGTGCCCCTGGGGTAAAGAAAGTGAGAAACACCATAGACGTGAAGAAGGAAATAGTAGAAAAATACGAGAGTGGTGTGCGACTTGTGGAGCTTGCCAGGATGTATGGAAAAAACAAGTCAACAATTGCTTCTATCCTGGCGAAGAGAAAAGAAATCAGGCATACTAATGTTGAGAAAGGTGGTCAGAAATCGGTAATTTGGCCAATTTCACACAAATTTTAAAAGATGCTAATTTCAAAGTAGGGTTCAGAATAAACAATACAGACATTCCTGCCATTAAAATGACATTTTCTTTGTTCATCAGTCATGTCTCCAGGCCCCTGTTATATCACTTTCGCTTTCCATTTTGAATTTTTCACACAAAAAATAAAAGATTTACTGTTATGCATTATTGTAATAATTGTACAAATAATGTCAGCCCATTCATGACTGCGTATTAGACTGGCCAGTTGGACACGTATTGGATGATGCCGTCAATTGTTTATTCTTGAACATCTGCAAAAATCGAACATTTCCGCTACTTTGAGCTCAATTTCAATGTATTTTCCATTGTGAAACCAATTAAAATCATATATATTTTTGTAATATATCTTCCATTCTATCAAATGAGACCAAAAAAAAGCATGAGAATACAACCATAAAAACCATACAAAAATATGCAGCAAAGTCACTGTTTTACTCCACAGTTGCATTTTTTTCTCATTATGCACTGAGTGCTGCAGGATTTTTTTTATATAGTGCACACTTACCATACAGACCTATTCTCTCATACGTAAACGCAAATTTACTGGTCACAGCTTATCTGAGTGAGCTGAACTCATGGCGACTGACAGTGGCTTCAAGGCCACCTTATCTTTTATGGACAATGTATGGTGTATGTGCTTTACATAATGAGAAGCATTTCTTTTATTTGTTGGAACCATGTCTAGGGCTAAAAGTGAGCAGGTTATAACAATAAATGGAGAAAAAGAAATTGGAATGACGTATGCAGCAAGCAGCGGCACCAAACAGTAGTGATAGGTTCGTGTGGCAACCCTGGAAATTTGAAATTATGCTAGCCAAAATTAGTTCTGGATTACTGATGGAACCGGATTACTGATTGCCAGATTAATGATGGCCGACCTGAATGAAGAGACTGCAAACAATAGCAGACAAATTTGGGAGGGTATATAAAAGGAAATTAAAAGTGAACATATGAAAGAGCAAGGAGGTACAGGTAACAAAAAATCTAGACAATGAAAGATTGGTTATCACATTGGAGGGAGGGAGTATGGAAGTGGTAAAATTATACACAAATAAAATTGTTAAAATTGGTAAAATTGTTGAGACATCTGGGAGTGCACTTACTGGCTGATGGGTCTGTCAAAGATGACGCTAACCATAGAACTGATGAGGGGAAAAAAAAAAAGTGGATGGTGCATTAAGACATCCATGGAGATTAAAATCCTTGTTATGGAGACAAAAGGACAAATGTACAAGAGTATAGTAGTACCAACACTGTTACATGGCTGTGAAGCATGAGTTTTAAATGTCAGAGCTAGGAGGAGGTTGGAGGCAGTGAAGATATCATGTCCAAGGGGCAAGCGGTGTGAATATTATTGGAAGAATTCGGAGCATGAAAATTAGAATGTGTGGGGTTGCCAAAGCATTATTAAGAGGACAGAGAGGAAGGGGGGCAGCTGTTGAGGTGATTTGGAAATTTAACGAGGATGGGGTAAAAGAGGATGACTAGGACATATAAATTCGGGGAGGGGAGGAGGAGGGTTGGAGGGAGGGGGTAGGGGATGCTTTGACAACTAGGGGATTGGACACGAACAGGCTTGTATGAACTTGTTAGATAAGAGTGGAAATAAGTGGATTTTATGGTTTGATGTGCTCTTGGAGTGTGAGCAACGTAACACAAAGGGATTCACGGAAACCGGTTAGCCGGGAGTCCTGGAGGTGGGAAGTATGGTGCCTACACACTGAAGGAATGGTGGGGATGTTGCATTTCAGAGCATCAACTGAGCTGTCACGTCAACATGCTTCTAGCATGACAGTGAAAATGTTTCTTGTTTTTCAGGTCACTCTACCTCGGTAGATGACTACTGAAATGCTAAAAAAATTAATTATAAATATTATTATTATTCTTACAATCCAACTTTATGCTGCACAATTTTCATGCAACACATTTCCAAAAGCACTGAAGTGGAAGAAAATTTTGATTCTGCAATACATTACCTCTTCCATTGTCTCCCATATATATTTATATTTTAGAGGTTAATGGTGTTTATGTATAACTATGTCTTATTCACAGTGCCCTCAAATATGCTGTTAGTCATAAATTTTGGCCTAGACATGAGAGAATGGGTCTTTACAGTGGGTGTGCAGAATATCAAAGAAATAACTGCCACATGCAGTGTATGATGGAACAATCAACCTCTTGTGTTTACAAGAGTGACTAAAGCAATTTCTAAAATAGTCTTCATATTTTTATGTCATTTCTTGACAGACATTACTAAATTGGAGATGATTCTGGTAAGTTTCAGACTGGAAATGGTTTGAAATAAGCCTTTAAAGAGCAGGAATATTTGACTTTCAGTGATTTTCCTGGAAGGGTAGATCACCCCTCCCCCCCAGCTACCCTGTTTATTTTTACGATTTTTTGCTGGGTCTGCTTAAACCATAACTAATTATTCTTTGTTATATTTTATTACTTTGGAATAGGATACAACTTAGATATTTTATGTGATGATGGATTCAAAATGGAGGGCAAGTGTAATAAGAACATAAGAAAGAAGGAACACTGCAAAAGGCCTACTGACCCATGCGGAGCAGGTCCATCCCCCCCCCCCCCCGTTTACCCCAATGACCCACCCAGTCTGGTCACCT